CATCTGCCAAGAAAAAAAAAAGAAAAAAAAGAGTATTTCTCATTCCCCAGGCAAATGTTTTCCAAGAGAAAGTTTGAGATTTTGGGGGTTGAAAAAAGAAAAAACACTGGAGGAATGGTATGACTTGTATGCTTAGGTCACAGTAAAATACAATCACCCTTTGTTGTTGCAATAGAGCCATTCAGAACTGTCAAACTAAGACTAACTTGAAGATCCAAGTACGTTAAAGGCTACGATAGACTTATTGATCAAATGACTCCTTTTTATCATCTTTTAACACATTGCTTAGGATTCACGGCCCAAGATCTCTCTTCACCTTTCCTCCCACAGCAGCAGGTGGTTGTTTCTAGTAAGAAAGCTTTGATAGACTTTACGTTACTGTGCCACAAACACACATAGCTAGCTACCGGCTGGTGCAGCATTCAGCAAGCTAAAGGGTTGGTGGGCCGAAAGAGGACTCCAAACGAATACTTACGTATTCATGGTTACTCCTCTTCTAGATGTGCAAATAGGAAATGATCTGCTAACACGTTAGCAGGGTTCCCACATGTCCTGGTAAACCTGGAAAACAGTTTTCCAGTAATGAGAAACGCATGGATATTTTCCTTTAGCCGAGAATCCACTGGTCTGCTGTCTGTCAGAGCAGCTCTCCACAACAGATAGCACTGCCATGTGAACGGGCTAAGTCACGTTCATGATCATCTTACTTACTTCATCTTACTCTAATAATGTAATGACGCTGCTGGCGAAACGTTTAGTAGAACTTTGACCTCTGTCAAATTGTTTCTCTTTTATTTTTTTTAAGCTACATAGTCAGTATTTTAAGGGTGGGGGTGCTTTGAATACTGCAAACAAATGTTGTACAATGTACACTAATAACTAACAGCCAGAACCAGCTGTGAAGAAAAAGTGGGCGTTCTTGTTCCACACGAGCCAATCAAAGGGCGGGAAGCTTGAGCAGCTTTATAACGCCAACACATGTCGGTGTGTTTTTAGCTTCTTCTGTTGCCCACAAAGTGGCTGAAAATCAATAAATGCAGCTTTTTAAAACCCCAGTGAAGTTAAACTGTTGGTTTGCCTCCTCCTAAAGTTTTGTGTGTGTGTGTGTGTGTGTGTGTGTGTGTGTGTGTGTGTGTGTGTTCAGGTATGGTAAGCTGTTGCCCTCACTCCAAGCCAGGCAGTTTTCAGCAGCTACGGGGCTGAGCCGCATGCTGATCATCCTCGGGGTGATCGAACCGACTGTTAAAGGGGAAAACGTTTCGGAGGAGGTCATCCAGCGTCAGGTCAGGCTAACACACACGATGTATACCCTAAAAGCTGTGACGTAGATTGTTTAAGAAATTAAAAGGCAAAAGCGGCAGAAATCTTTTTTTGTTGTAATTGTTGTGGCACAGCAGCTCAGTGGCGATTAAGAGGTGATTTAGGAATGATTCATCAAGGCTTAAAAGTGTTTCAAAATACCGTCAATGTTGACGTCTCTATAGTCTGGAGACAACGCTTTCGCTAAGCTAATTTAGGAACATAGAGGAAAAGAAAGTGATATGTTTCAGGCCTTTAGAAGCAACGCCTCCCATCTTCCCCCCCTTGCGGCCACAGGATGGTGCTAGTGCGAGAACAATCCTCAGCAGAGAGATGCGAGTGGGTGATGACTGCAGAGGCGTCTGTGTCTCAGTGTCGTCCGGGGCCTGTGAATTGTTTGGCACACGGTCGCCAGGCGTCACTTTTTTAACAATAAATGAGAATTGAACCCGTTCCCGGAGCTGACGTGACGCCGCAGTTTGCACTGTTATCGTCTGACGCCTGCTATACTGTAAACTCAGCCCTCTGACAGGCGGAGAGGAAACAGGCTCATAATATAAGCGACGCATTATGCCGTGTGTTGCAGATGCAGTTTCTCTCCTTTTTTTATTTTATTTCTCACCTGTCCGCACTCTGATCTGCTGTGAATCTGTTTTTCAAAACACACTCACAGTGCTGACATGAAGTCCTGTAGTCATTTCTGTTTCACTTGCCATGGAAGACGTCTCAGGCAGAGGAGGATTAATGGATGAACAACAACCAATATCTTTGGTAACATGGGATAATGCTCTGTAGGGGGTGACACCTTATTATAGCAGGGAAACCATGTTTTGGAGCATTAGGGCCATGGAGATAGAGAGATTCTTGCAGGTTAATTTAGCAGCATTTAAACAACACCGTCCCACTTCAAATTCTTCCTTTTATTTTTTTTTATAAATTGAATTTGTTCGGACACTCGGTGACATCTCTAACATCCGTCCAGCATCACATTTGAGCTGCAGCTGTTCACAGTTGGTTGAGACGCATTCTCTGCAGCCAGCCACCCACGATGTGATGGCAGCAGTGATGAGGGACCCATTTCAGCTTTTCAAGTATTACAGTCGTTGCCAGAGAGATAAGGACATCATTGTGCTGGGATTCTCCAAGGACAGAGAGAGGTTTTGCAGACAGGCTAGTGAAGGTTATAACATGCACGCGCACACACGCACACACACACACACACACACACACACACACACACACACACACACACACACACACACACACACACACACACACACACAGACAGTCACAAGCTCGCCGGACTCAATAGAGCATGCAGTCCATTTCTCAAGGGCATGTTCTGTAACCAGCGCTTAATTGAACCGGAGCAGACCTGTTTGCCGCTATGTTAGCGGCACCAAAGCTATCTCGGTCTCATCGCACGCGGAAGATGGATGCAAATTCTGCTCAGTTTGAGGAGTCTCGTCTTCTGCCTGGTAGCGCGTGGTGAACTCTCTCTAACCCTGAGCCGGAGAATCCGAGTACCAAGACTGAGATTTTCAATGTCGTATCAGTATTCTGGTCTGAGCCGGACACGGACTTGATTTTCACATCTTGCAAACGGATGGAACTAAGAAGTTTAAGAAGTTAGAGTATTCTGCCTCGCCTTGGCATTGGAAGTCACTAGAGCAGCTCTGACTCGGGGATTCAATCAAAGTATAATCATACTGTAAGTGCAGTTATGATAAACGATAGGGGGGGGGGGTCTAAATGAAGCGCGGCTTTGTAAAGATCTTGCTCACAACACATACACACAACCAAGTCTGTCCCAATTTTGGATTGCGTTGCAGTGATCTGGGGTGATTGTAGACGAGCAAAAACAAATGAACCAACTGCGAAGCGGAGCTATGCTTTGTTTTTTTGGACGTGCATAAAATGGCCCCAAAAATTGTCAGCGTGTGGCGATATGGGATCGGAGCCGTGTGGTTAGTCAAAAAAAAAAAAAAAAAGGGTGACATGCTGCGACTGTGGAGTAGCTCCATTAACATGTCTGCCAATAGACTTACCCAACAAATCTCTGGGATTGCTCAGATTATTATCCACGGAGTTACTCTCTGTATTTGTTCTTTAGTGTCACTCGGCTCCCTTCCTTTTTGCTTTTCCGTTGTGTTGTGACTGATTTCTTTTCTCTGTCTCTCTGCGTCTTATAGAAATACCTCCTGAGTAACCCGGCCCACCAGAGCAGTGCCGTGGATGAGCATTACTTTCTGAATGAAAGTGCATCTCAAGTAAGGTATGGTAACCATTTTTGTGCCTGTTTTTTCAAATGAGTTTGCAAGTTTAATGTGGAAGTCAAGATGAACATTGGAATTGGAAACATTATAATATTTCAGTTGTTGTTGTTGTTCTTTTTAAAGGGACATCACACAGTTTAAGCCCCTCTCCAGCAGGACGTCAGTGAGCGTGATCACTGGCGATTCCTTTGACCAGGAAATACCAGAACATCTAAACCAGGTGAGAGAGTTTACCGTGTCGCTGCACAGCTCCACGATGCGTTGTTAACTCTTGTACAGTGACAGGACAATACTAAAGTCAGGCTTGGTGTAACACAAATAAATCCAGAATAAATGATCTTTTTCCTGCACCAGATGGTCGCTGAGCTTCAAAAGAAGTTTCTGGAGGAGTCCTACCCGTCAGCCAATCACGTTCACATAAAAGGAGCAGACCGGCGAATGATCTACAAGAAGCCATCTGCCATCAGCCAGCACCTGAGGAAGCTCGTCAACCGACGACAAGCCAAACAGCAGAGCGAGTGACCCATGGCCAATATGCAACAATAGTGCAGGCATGGACAGGGTAATCATTGAATATGTTTTAAATATTCAATAAAATATTCAAGCTCTCTCTCTTTTTTTCTTTTTTGTCCCCTGCAGCGATCTGTAGAGATTGTGTACATGTCTGGTGAGGTTCATCAAAAAGTCCATTTTTTTAAACTTTTTGCTCACTGGAAGCTTTTAATTTGAAAATAACTGGAGGGTGATTCAGTGCGATGACATGTTTGCTGTCTTAGAGTCGGGAAATCTTATCTTTCAAGTTGTTATTTCAGTCTCTTTACCTGATTGGCCAGAGACAAAAATTAATACATTACTCCTTATCAATGTAAAGGCCACACACGCCACTGCTCATTTTATCTCATTCGGTTTAGTCTTAATATTCTGCCTTTTTATAGCCACAGGGAAACATACATTGAGTTTCTCTCTCTGTCTGTCTCTCTCTGTCTCGTCAGCTGCAGTCATTTGTTACTTGCATATAATTACATCACAAACAGTTGTAGACCTCCATCTTTGGTCTTTTAATCAGCGAACAGATGAGTCTGACCTGCAAAGCTGCATTTTTGTAAATCTGTCTTTATGTACGTCTGCGTCTGTTTTTAACTGCTCTGAACTCACTTGTGTGGCAAACGGGGACGTGATGAAAGAAAGAGCAGACAGCGTTGGTTTATCCTGAGGATTTAAGTTTTAATTATGACACCACATCAAAATAAAAATTTCCAACAGATCTGGAATTTAATTCCATCCATATACATGCATAGCAACAACGTTTTAAGAAACATTTTCTCCCATAATCAGGACATTGGAATGATCATTTTACATCAGCATACCCACTGACCTCCCACCCATCTTGTTCATCAGCAATAAACGTAATTCTTGTACAACTTCTTTTTTTTTTTTTTTTTTCTTCCCTTCGGGGGTTACAAATAATTATATGCACACTCCCCCATTTCATAATACTGCTTTTCAGTAATGTTCCCTCATTTACAAAGTATTGCATTGAGAGCAAAATTTCAAAAAGGGAGACCAAAGTGTATCATCAAACAGAAATACAAGTACTATACAAGAATGCTGCCATCCTCATGAAAACATCCACATCTGAGTTGAAGAAAAGAGACGGGGACAAACAGCCACATATGTATGCAAAGCCATGTGTATATGCCAAAATGTGAGATGCAGCGTTGTGCCTGGTTATCACCCCCAAATGGTGATTTCTTTAAGGCAAACAAGTCATTAGTAGCAATCTGCAAGTGACATTTTGGGCATATACAGAAACTGGTACAGCAAATAAGAATACACAAGTGCCTCAGTAGCTATTTTTGTGTCTACAATGCATCTCATTTTTGTATTGTCTATCTGTTTCATTGAGCCTACACTACAGTGTAAACAATATGTGTGCTACACAAGAATGACTATACAATAACATTACAAACAACTCTGATATAAATTTCATTTTGAATTTAAATTAAGATCACTACTCCTATTAATACTGATTGTAAAATAAATTAATGTGAAAGTGGCACCAATATTATTCTTGATTCATTTTTCTTCTCTTTTTTTTTTCAAACCAATGGTTTTGCATTTTAAAGTCTTAAAACGATGAAAGAAGAAGCTTCTCTTGATTGTCCACAAGCAGCGTTTAGCACTGCAGGATGCACTATTCCAGACACAACAGTGTACCAAAACAAAGGAGGGGAAAAGGGGGGAACAGTCGGGTGGGGGGGTAAAGGTGTGGGAGGGAGAAGAAGAGCGCGTCGTCTTCTTATTTTACATGCTCTGCAGCATGTGATGAACAGTAAAACTTCTTATGGGTAATAAAGTTTGACAGGTTGTTGAACTGGATATCACAGAGGCGGCAGTACTTGCCACTTCCAGAGCCGTTCACGCCTTTGTTGGCTGTGGGCGCCGCCTGCTCGCTCGGAGACTTGGAGGAAGGCGACATGTTCTCGTTGGAGTCGGCCTGGTTCTCGCCGGCCCACGTAGGTGACGGATTGGAAGGTTGGCCGTCTGGCTGGGGCTGATTCTCCTGCTGCGGTGGAGCTGTGCCCGAACGCTCCTCGGGCTTGTGCCCCCCGTTGACGATGACCATGCCCCGGTTTTTGGGGAGTAGGGGAAGGGGCTCCTTGCCAGGGTGGGGGCAGCCATTAACAGCAGGCTGCTGGGCCTGCTCCCTGGTCGCTCCTGTCTCTCCTCCTGCGCCTCCTCCCCCGCTCTGCTCCTGCTCGCTTGCCTCTCCCTGCATCACTGGTCCCCCAGTCACATAATCGGTTGGCTTTATCCCAAAATACGGCGATAGTTGCTCGGGACCTTTCGCCTTCTTTATTGCTCCGGGATAAAGGCAGTGGGGCAGAAACATATTCTTGCTCTCGTCTTTTGATGGGATGAGCTGGGGCTCAGCAAAAGGCTTGAGTCCCAGCACGGTCCCCAGGTGAGGGGGGAACAAGCCTCCGTTCTGCACCATCCCCTTCCCGTTGCCATTCTTCTCACATTTTCCCGGGCTCTTATCGTAGACGTCATCGGGGTTGTTATTGCCTTCGCTCTTCACATCTGGGAACATGGTCGGCTCCAGGCTGCCAGTCTCATTGTGTGGTTGCTGCTGCTGTTGTTGCTGAGCGGCGGCGGCAGCGGCGGCGGCGGCTGTTGCAGGGCAAAAGTTCTGTTTGTGCGCCAGGTAGTTCTCCACCTTGTTAAAACTTATCTTGCACACGGCACATTCGTGATAGTCCAACAGTCTTTTAGGGGAGCTACATGTCTTGTCGGAGACGGGCGAACACTTTTTGCTGAGATCAATGGGGGCGTCCAGCTCCTGCTGCTCCACTGTATTGCATTTGGGAGCCAGAATAGCTTTAGTGACAGTCAAGGAGGCCTCCAGGTGTTTGGGTACCATACCGGGGAAGATGTCACAGCGCGGGTGGAAGCGGTCTGCTAGGCTCTCTACAGCTTCCTGGGAAGTACAAGGGTTCATAGGAGGAATTCCGAGGAAACCTGGCTGACCCATAGGGTTCCTCTGGTGGTCCTGGTCTGGGAGACACATCTCATACATCTTCCTGCGCTTGCGGGCCCTTATGGTTCTCTGCATGGAGGGTACCTTGTTGTTGGACATGCGTTTCATGGGCGGGTCATGACGCGTGGCGCAGTAGTACTGCTTGTGGACCATGAAGGTCTCGTGACGGCTGAAGGTGATATTGCAGGCCTCGCAGACTGTCTTGTTCGGGTCATTGTCACTTTCCACCAAACCCGTACTGGGGCTTTTCCCCTCCAACTGCTTGCCGTTCAGCCTCTCCTCAGCCCCAGTCGGGGTAGTGGCCTTCTTCACCTGTCCGGCTAGATCCTTTTCAGGCTCTTTGGCCCCGGCGTTGATCATGTCCAACACACTGGAGTTCAGACAGGAAGACTGCATGATGTGGTTGTCGGCCTCTATAGGGTGGCAGCTGGTCAACATGCTAACAGAACTGTGGCCGCTGTTGGGGCTCACCGCCTCGGGAACCTTATCCGAGAGGGCGGAGAAGTCTGGGGACTTTGCCATGTGTTGCCAGCGGCTGTTACAGTAGTGCTTTTTGTGGACCAAATAGTTGTCCAGGTTGCTGAAGGTGATATTGCATTCGAAACAGGTGGCCCCTTTGGGCATAAGAGGACTGTAGATGACAGGGGGGTAGCTGTTCCCTCCGTGGCGCAGCCTCCGGTGAACGAGCTCTGACATTTTAGCCAGAATCTCAGAAGCCTGCGGGACTACTGAAATGTCTTGGGAGAAAGCAAACTGAGACAAGAAGGGGCCCATGGGAAATGTAGGCATGTTATGCTGCACAGGGGAGGAGGCCAGCCGGGGGCTGGAGGGCTCAGACTTGATCCTAGTGTAAGAAAAACTGGCTTTGCTGCCTGGGTGGGCCTCTCCCTTCTGAACAGACAGCATGGGCTTCTTCTCAGCCTTGTCTGCCTCTCCGTCTGTGCTGGTCTCCTTGCTGAGGGTCCCTTTGGGACTTCCCAGCAGAGCATCCTTCCTGTTGGCCAGCTCAGCGCGGGCCTGCTGCTGCTGCTGCTGGAGGCTTTCCTCGGGCCCCCTGGGGGAATGCTCGGTGCCGTCGCCTTCCCTGTGAAGTTTGCTGCCGTGCCCATGTAAGTCCTGATGCTGTAAGAGTTCCCTGTGGCTCTGGAAGCTGATACGGCAGTGATTGCATCTGAAGGCCGCCTGTGACAGGTGAGACATGATGTGATGCTGGAATGTAATAAGAGAATCTGCCGTGTAGTTACAGATTGTGCATTTCAAGCTGGTGCCAGGAGGGAGGCTCTCTTCCATTTTGACACCTGTGAAGGAGATAAAAGGGAGAAATGCTCAGAATCTCGCCTCCCACTTCTCCTTTAGAGTTAACTGTAGAAACCATCAAACGCTCATGCATTATGCCAAGCTTATTCCCCTCCACTAGATATTTTTTTCGCTCAAGGATAAACTGTCAGCCGTGGTAGCTGACAGGAGGATATGTATATTTTTTGAAAAGAAATGACATTTTTCCAAACCTGTGTAAAACTCTGTCCTTGTGTCTTGTTTCTAAAACACCCTTTCTTTTAACAATGAATTGAAAGTAGCCATCATCAAGAACAGTAATATATAAAAAAACAAACAAAGTTTTCAATCGGATGGGTTTATAAGCTTTTTGCACAAACTCTTTCATGCATGACGCTGTCACTCACCACTGTGTGAGGTGCTCAGGTGCATTTCCAGGGCCCTGGCTCCGGAGAAGCTCTTGTTGCACTGCGGGAGGGGGCACATGCTGGCCGTCTGATGGGGACCGTTGTCGTTTTCATCCACCACCGTCTCTGGCTCCCTCAGCCGCCCGCTGCAGTAGTACATCAGATGGGCCTGCAGGTTCCTCTCGCTCCGAAACCAGATTCCACATGCCTTGCAAGGGAAGATGTCCTCTGGAGGGACACGGAAAAAAGGGGACAAAGGGGACACGATATCAGGATATATCCGGCACTTTCACATTCATGCACAAAGATAAAGAGCTTGCACGCATGCATGCACGCATGCATGCACGCACCCACGCATATACTCCTCCTCCTTCTCCACTTGTACAGCTCTGACTCTCAAAGCCCGTGTTAAAAGGCTTTTCCCACCAAATCCTCAGCTGCTGCGTATCGCTGCGTTGCTACCACTCGGTTGGTGCCCTTTCTCAAGGGCAAACAAGAACACTGGACCATCTGCTTACAGAAGCCTCCCTGTCGAGCTGAACCCAGATAGCCCTCGCTAAGTAAACAAACACACTATTTGCATGAGGCGTGTATTTTGCAATTAACACGTTCGTGCGAGCCTCTGTGTGTTTATGTGAACCCAAAACTTGAAGGTCGATGGCTCTTATCTCCAGTGCAGAGACTCATCTGGGTTAATCTACGCCCGGCGGAGACGACGCTCCTTGTTAAGCAGGTGACTGAGTGCAGGCAGCGGACTCGTGTGTGTGTGTGTGTGTGAGAGAGAGAGAGAGAGAGAGACGGAAGGGGAGATAGAACAAGAGCATGCACGCGCGTCTAAACAAAGGCCCGTCTCGTTCCAGCTCCCCGCGCTCCTGTTTCGGCGCACGGACACTTACTGTTGACGATGGCGGTGGGCAGGATGGACGCCATGGCGGCCTGCTGCGGCAGGAGCTGGATGCTGTCCAGCAGCCTGGCTGGGTACATGCCCTCGCTCAGAGACATGTGGTTCACCGCCTGCAGACGCGAGTCAAAGTCCACGGCGAACGCCACCAGCTCCTCGCCCTCCATCATGTTCTTGGTGGTGGTGCACCACAGTTGGCCACCTGGACAAAGCAGAGAGATGGAGGAGACGATTAAATGCTTGCTGCGAGGGAAGAAAAACAGCAAAACAAGAAGCTTTTGCTGCACGTACACACGAGTCGTGCTGGACTTGAATGTCAGGGCGTACTCATACTTGTGCTCGCCTTGGGTGGCGTGCACAACATCTCTACAACTCAGCGTTTTTAATGTTGCATAACAGTGAAATGGTGTTGGAAAAAATGGCATTCGAACGTTTCCACAGCAACGCGTCTTTCCAAAATCAGTGCCCACCCGTTGCTCTGGATACTCATGAGGGCTGTGTTTGATGTAGCTCCAAGAAAAGGTCTGAAGACAGAGAAACTGTTTCTGGAAAGACACCTAAATGTCAAGGCTATGGGCACTGCGCATGAAACCCCATTCACCTCCACTGATTTGGCGTGTCGGCGGAAATCTCATAGACTGATATCTGAGACCTGTTCAAATCAAGCCGAAACTACACAGGCAGAGGTGAATGAGAAAATCTGTTTTTGCCAAAATTGGGTGGACAAACCCTTTAAAAGGTCATTTCTGTCTTTTTACTGTCACTCAAACGTCTTTTCCAGCAGCGAGGCAAACCTCAGCCGGGTAAACTCTAGCCTACAGTTGCTGTTGTCAGCTAGAACACTGAGACAGGTCCTTCACATTATTAGATTGTTGTGTTTTGGGATTAAGCATTCCTCTGAAATCTTCTGAACATATTCATTAAGTCAGAGAAAGGGGGATGGGGGGGATAGGGGGATGGGGGGGATGGGGGGGGGGGGGGGGGGTGGGGGGAGAAAGGAGCGGGGAGGGAAGAGAGAGTGAAGGTTTTAGCTTAGATAATATTTATCTCGGCACATGACAGGCTTTTCAGCTGCACTTCATTTTCCATTGAAGAGATTAAAGTTTTTAATGTGACTATTTACAGAAATCTGGCCGGGGAGATAACAACAAACCATGATACGCTCCTGCTAAATGGCAGAATTAGGACATTGTTTCTGAGGAAAGCCGGACAATTAATTAAAGTGCCGCTGTTGGCTCTCAAAGATGTGCAAACATGGCGACGGAGTGTCAGGCTGAGAGGGGACATGTGATTTTGAGCCCCGGCTGATGTGGAATAAAGAGAGTCCTGAGGAGAGAGGTGTGAAGGCAGGGGGGGGGGGGGGGGCTAGAAGAGCCCCGCCACACACACACACACACACACATACATGGAACACTGATTACTCATGTTTAAAACCATCTTGCAGATGCAGAGAAGGTTCTCCAGTGCAGCTCTGCATGACAACAATCAGCCACCAGGACTTCACATCATTACGACATGCTTTATGTGTAAATCATAGGTTCTCGTCGTGGATTTGCCCCATTATTTTAATTCCAAATTGAATATTACATATTTCACATCGCTGTTTTGATTAAAACCTCCCTAGCCCCTTCCTATCTGCCGGTGAAGTGCTGGAAATTAGACCAGCACAAACGTGTCAAAGGAGTGAAATAGTATTAAAATATGCTATCTTTCAAAGTCCCATTTGTGTGCAGGCTTGCTTCCTGTGTGTGTGTGTGTGTGTGTGTGTGTGCCAGCGTGTGCATGTCAGCGCTGCTTTAAAGAGCAGCGCCTATCAGTCGGCCAATCTACTGTGACGAGACGCACACTTCAGGCCGCTCCACTTCATCGTTTTGATTCTGTCATACCACACACTGCCTGGAGAGGCCCTTTGAATTTTTATCTCCTAATTAAAATAACAAAACTCCCCTCCACTGTCTGCCCAAGTTACCATCAAGGTAGATACAAACTGCCAGCGACAATGGCGGGGAACATATCGCAGTCGCAGCCACAAAAAGTTTCTCGCCTCCGAATGGATCTCTTAGTTCACACGCGCTCAGCTTACAAAGAGAATGATGAACTAGGCCCCGCTGACGCTCCGATACAAATCACTGTTTTTTGTGGATCAATCCAAATCAAAGATGCTGTACTCTTCCCCCTCAGCCCAAATGAAGCCGATTTAAATGTTTTTACTGCGTTTTTCTCCGGTGGAATATGCGCTCCGATTGCATCCCTTCAGCCAAGAGTGCTGCGGATCCATCTGTTGTGTGCGAGGAATGCTGGAAGTGAGTTTTTAGGACTGCGTGTCCCAGTTTTACCGAGCCACACAAAAACACTGAGGCAGCACTTGTTACAGTCACTCAACCAAGACGAGCTCCTGAGATACATGTGCTCCGGCTGCAGGATTATGGTTTGAAACTACACCTTACACCAAATGTGTGATTGTGCAGCTGTAACATCTGCACGTTTGCACACTATCAACTGCAATCAAAGTACCTGCAGTGCCTGCATCATGCACATAAGAAGATGCAAGGCATAGAGAACCGGTGGGCAACAGACAAAATAAAATGTATATATTCCATGAAGGAGCTCAACAGAAAGATTGGTCATAGCTGTTTCGCTCTGCCAGCCCTTCTTCAAGACAGGTGATTTAAATCACAGGAACGCAGGTGAGCCACCGACGACAATGGCGGTGGAAGAGTTGAGCCGGGATGAGGTCAAGAGTTGGAGCGAAAGGACCGGGAAAAAAACCCCGTTGTGTGGCGAAACTGGGGGAAAGGCCGGGGGGGAAAAGTGGAGCTTGCGATTTGCACTTGTTTGCCTGCTAACTGTCTGCAGTGAGCTGCCTTTGTGCAGTGGCCAATGCAGTTGGAACGACGGCTATTGTCTGAATCCTCCTGCAGAGCACCTGATAAAAGAATAAAGAACTATGACATATTCTAAAAACAATGGAGGAATTAAAGGGAGACAATAGGCCAGCTGCCTCATTAAAACAATCAAAAAACGGCATCCTGTACGTAGTCCAGATAATTAAAAAACCACTGCTTCCTGCAGTCTCTCAATAGCATATCCACCAGCTCACCGAGGCCCTGAGACTGCGGCTCTGCTGGCTAAATGCCCTCTCCTCCTCTCCTCCCCTTTGATTAACGCTTCATTTGAACACGCAGTTGAAGATGAACATATGAGGGAATTCATGAAACAAAAAATTATAATGCAGACCCCCTTTTTTCCCTTCTATAAGCACTTATAAACTAATCAAATGTCTCAGGATGAATCGCAGGGACTCGGGGGGCCGCGTGTCGCCTCCCTTTCGCCTAAAGCCCCGAGAGATTTCAAAGTGCAGGCATCACAGGGCATTTTTTAATTTCCTCACTTTAAATGACTTTATAAGAAAACGGATGTGTACAGTATCTGTGTATGTATGGGGGGGGGGGGCAAGGAGAATAGAGCATGAGATACTTGGGCAGGAATAATTTTTATTTTATTTTTTGGCTCCCTGCAAACCGTGCTGCCGACCACCATATCTTAATGAAACCCCCAAACAAATCTCTCACGCCTCGCGCAAAAAGCGGAGAGACAACAAAGCAGGCAAAAAAATTATACAAATAAATATATAACAGAAGGGGCCCGGATAATTAAACTGGCCTGAAGACAGGTATTCAAAAATGTTGGTGTGTAAACAGCACAACTCTTTAATAGTTGAGCTGTAAAATGCGTAGTTAAGCACATCAGCACTTGCCTCTCCCATCTGTCCAAACACATTACCCATGCAGAGGCCATAACGGCGCCCGAGTATACGGTCCCCACTGCACGCAGCCACATATCACAGGGAGGGGCTCAATGGGGCTTCTGGGGCCCATTGGCACCCAGGGGTCACGTGCCTCAAAGCACCACGGGGCACTTAGAGAAACAGGAGAGAAGAAGTGCCACTTTATGAATTTTTAAAAGAGCAAAAGTTTCAAATCTACATCTAATTTCTCTTTGTCAAGCTCGGTGCGGGTTTCTTTTTTTCCTTCTTATTCTGCTCCTTTAAGTTGTCGTCTCCGTCTGTTGGCCCCCTCGCGCTAACTGCTGGTCTTAATTGCGAAGCGAGGCTAGTGGCGCCTGAAGCCACAGAGAGGGGTGTAATTAAAGACCTCTCTACTCCTCTTGTCTTCTCATCAGCTCCCCAAACTCCTCGCGGTCAAACGGGAACAAGCTTCCATCGCACCTGCGCATATCAAGTAGCTGCGTCGGCGCCGTTGTTAACCATTGCATTATTTATTTCATTTTTTTTATTTGTTAACTGAGCTTTATCACTTCCCGGTCAACTTCCCTCGGAAACATTGTTTGTTCCGCAAACCGCGGATGAACAATATAGATCCTGCGCCCTGACTGACAGCACACAGGTGAGCGCTAAACAAGGCCTCCTCGTGAACGCAGGTAAATATTTGGACCGTTTCACACACACATTAGGGTGACTCATGGCTGTCAAGCTCACCGTCACGATCCGCCATAAACCAGCAGAGAGAGAGAGAGAGAGAGAGGGAGAGAGGGGAAACGCTGAGTTAGACCCGAGCGGGGAACATCATTCACGGGGTCAAACAAGCTTACTATTATTGACGGTACACTAAACTAGAATTAGCTGACTCTACTATTATTTCACCAAGGCACTGACACAGATTGACTCCCCCCCCCTCACCCCCTTTCCATCTCTCTTCCCTCCCTCCTTCCTTCCTCCTTCCTCCCCTGTGGTGTCCCGGCCACCAGGAGGCGCTCTTCTCTTGCTCAACCCGCAGCGCGGTGGATGCGTGTTTTTGTTGCTGTGATGATGCAGAGACGCCTCAGACACGGCAGAGCAGCGTGTAGGCGCCAGACTGCCTGTGCGTCCTAGCAGATAGGAGCTACACAGCTTCCTCTCTCATGAGCAATGTATTGGGATAATAAAGGCATTCTTCTGACTTCATGCGGACTTAATCTTTGCGTCGAGTAAGCTTGAATGTGGGAATAAAATCTATGATTTCTTTTTCTATATTTATGTTTAATAATATTGTCTGTTATAGATTCATTACTGTAATGGCAGTGATCAAGCATACCAGAAAGTTATTTTTTTTATATTTGCAAATCATTTTTAGTATCATTATTATTATTTAGTATCATTATTATCTTTTTACATATTTTAAATTTCTAAAATTTTTAAATTGC